CACGTCTGAAGATTTTGTACGCAGAGGCGCCACACCAGACGATGCAGTAGCATTAGCTTACTATGAAATGTTTGATAAATTGGAGACGTTGCAATGTGACCTTTCACAAAGGATAGATCCCCCAGCATAACCTCGTCCACATGAGCATGCTGCTGAAGCTGATTACGACCATCATTCTAGGAAAGGATCACAGATGTATGACCTTCTCAACAATGAACAGCGCTTGCAGTCAACAGCATCCTTACATCATTTGATGCCGGCAGCTGCAAATTACATTTCATTGATGGGCCGATTGGCAGTGGAAAAACTTTTGTTTACAATACCATTTACCACGTATTGAAAGGTCAGCGGAAATCCATCATCTGCGTGGCATGGACCGGAATTGCTGCCAGTCTACTACCGGAAGGAAGAACTGCCAGCTCGACATTCAAGCTAAACATGCAATCCGGAAATCGAGATTGTATGCTCCGACGGGAGTCTAGGGAAGCAATGCCCTTGAAAAATGCAGACATGATCATCTGGGACGAGATCAGTATGGTGCCGAAATACTCATTGGAAGCAGTCGACTTCCTACTCAAAGACTTGATGTGTAACATGCTGCCTTTTGGAGGAAAAACGTTGGTCCTTGGGGGTGACTTTCGACAGGTTCTGCCATTAGCAGAGCATGGAACTGAGTCGGACATGATCGATATGTGCGTAAAGAATAGCTGTCTTTGGAGTACATTCTGGAAGCATACTCTATCGCTCAATATGAGCACGGGTGAGTTCGATCTACCATGGTGCGATTTTCTGATGAGAGTCGGAGGCGGAACAGCAGAAGAAGATGACGACGGCTGCATAGAACTTCCACAAGATATCGTCTCCAGCGGCAACCTCGTCGACGAAATTTTTGGAGACCAAATCACCAACACCGACATTCTCAGTGACCGTGCGATACTCGCACCGCGAAACATCGATGTCAATCGCATCAACGAAGACGCACTGAATCTACTTCCGGGAGAAGCCAAGGAGTACAAAAGTATAGATGAGGTAACAAGCGATGGGTATAGCGAATACAGTACAGAGTTTCTGAACAGTCTATCACCCGCAGGACTACCTCCTCACAACTTACGATTGAAAAAAGGTGCTTTAGTGATGCTGCTCAGAAATTTGGACGTTAACAGAGGATTATGTAATGGAACCTGCCTGATAGTGACTCATCTTGGGCAATACGTGCTTGGCTGTCAGTTTGCCTCCGGAGAACGAAAAGGTCAATTTGTCCCTATACCAAGAATCGACAACTTTACTGATAAAGGCGTTCCTGTTCGAGTTCGACGACGGCAATTTCCCCTTCGACTCGCTTTTGCCATGACCATCAACAAAGCTCAAGGCCAGAGTCTATCGAATGTAGGAATTCACCTCGGATCTGAAGTCTTTTCTCATGGGCAGCTCTATGTTGCCCTATCACGCGCGCGAACTAAAGAAGGTGTGAAAGTACTTAAAAACGGCACGCGGGTGAAAAACATTGTGATTAAAGCAGTGCTTTGAATTTCTAGAACACCATCATTCTTATGAACAAACTGTTTTCACAGTCTTTCTTTTCACGGCTCAAACATTCTCACAACCTTAGACACTCCACTCATCTTTTTTGTATCCCAACATTGCTCAGCTCATAGCTCAAAAAGATCACGCTCTTCGTTCATTTCATCAACTGAATACAAACCTTGATTGACTATTTTCACTTTTTTGTTGGTCTTATTTCGCTTTCTATCTACTGAGAGCCACTGTACGATCTCAAATCTAAGCTTTACATGAATGTATTTTATTTCATGGAATTCTTTAACATAAATCTTTATCTTCGAAGAAGCTCCCTTGAGTGAAGATTTACATCTCATGGAAATTACTTTGAGAACTATACTAAAATCAAAATTCCTCATTTTGCTATTTACCAAGGCAAGACTTGCCATACTATCACAACATGAAAGTAGATCTAGACACAACCCGACTACGAAAACTGCGAAACTCCCTACCACATCCCACTTCACACACGAATATAAACATAAAAATAGCAACTAATAATATTACTAGGTGTTCCAAAAGTTCTTATCCTTCGATCTATCACACGATCGCTTCGGATAAAGGTGACCAAACAATTCAAGGACTATTTGACGCACTTTTTCTTACTTTCTTCACTAGTCAAACTTTGCAAGCATTTCTTTTGTG